CCCTTCACTCATTTATAATGTACTCATTCAACACATGTGCCGTGGGCATCTTCCATGTGCCAGGAGCTCTGGTAGATGCAGATGATGCAAAGATTGATAAAACACAGGCTCTCTGTTAGAGGACCTCACAGCCCAGCAGAAGTGGGGACTGGAACCAGGTCCCAAATTTCTTGGAACATTCGGGGAACATTTGGTAAAGGGCTGCCTTCCATCACCCCCTTTTCACCCTTCACACATCCCTCCAGGCCCCATCACTTGATTCCCAGCCCTCTCTTTACAGAGGCACCTGCAGGGGGCCCCCAGCTAGGGCAGCACCACCTCTCCCATGACTGCCCATAGTCCCTTCACGGCCATGGGAGGGACCAGTCATGCAGACTTCTAATCTGGAAGTGGCTTCTCCAAAGAAAGAATATGAAAAGGGAGAGTTCTGAATCCATTTCTCCCCTTCCCTTGTCCCACCCCTGTCACACTCTGCTCAGGCCACAGGCTCAGGTGCCGTAGAGGAAACCAAAAGAAACCAAATGGGCTCAAAGCAGAGGAGACTCTGCTCAGAGCCTCCCAGTCCGAGACTGGAGATACCCCGAGGCCTTGAAGGGAGAAGACAGACCTTCCTTCTCTCTGCTTTCTGGAGACCTAATGAGAGAAAGAAGCTTCTACCAGCAGCAGAGGCCATGAGGCTTGGCAAAGCCAGAAGAGGATGAAAGATGAGTCACATGTCCAGTGAAGAAGTGAGAAATCTCCCTTGACATAATCTCTGTGGGAACCGGAGGATGAAAGGAGGATGAAGGGGTCCTGGTGAGGGGCGAGGGGCGTGAACTGTGGAGATCTGTTGGTTTGCTGCTCAGGTTCTCCATCTCGTAGCAGGGGCTGAGGATACAATTGGGAGCCCATCCCCTGTAGGGTCAGGAAACATCCTGCTCACTGGTGGGAGCTGCCCACGAGGCTCTGTATCGAAGGGACCCAGTGCTCAGAGAGGAAGGAGAAAATGACAGAGGATGAAGATGGGCGCAGGTTCCCTGAGGACAAAAGAGCCGTACCCTTGAGCACAAGCATGCTGCTCCCAGTCAGGACCCTCTCCCTGGAACTGGAAAGAAAGGAGCAGCAGCTGATCTTACTGGGGATGGAGGACTCTCTGACTGCACGTGGAAAGAGGGGAAACGCTGAAAAGGCCACAGGCGGGAGGGACCACTAGAGAGCAGGAGAGAGAGGGTCTGGATGTCGAGGGAACGGACCAGCCGTGGAGAAGGGCTGAGCCCGGATCAAAGCCGAGGACTTACAGAGAATGGCCTGCAGCAGGACCGAGGCGAGCAGGACCAGCGTCAGGAAGACGACCGCAGCGCCGACGGTGAGGCATCTCCCCAGAACCAGAGACCGACCTGTCTTGGGAGGAGGCTCTGCGGAAAGGAAAGGAGAACATTTGTTGAAGGACCAGCAAACAGCGGGTTGGGCGCCAGGCTCCGAGCGGGCTTTGAGCAGGTCCTTGCCTCGGGGCCACAGGGAGACATTCTGTTTATCTACAGTGAAGTGCGCGTCGGGGACCTCGCTCTTGACGCCCTTCATCCTGCACGCTCACCCTCGTGGCACAGGTGCCCCCAGTCGGCTGCTTCCACAAGGACCTTTTATCTGGAGGAAATGGGAAGTGGGTGCCCCAGAGGTCACTGTGTCATCCCAAAGTTCCCCATTTCTGGCTGAGACACCTCGCCTGGCCTAGACCACAGCACAGTCCTCTCCTTAAATATCCTAGCTTTCAGGAAGAGGCCTTTGTCACCTTCTCTGGGGGTCTGTTACATGGACACTTTAACCATCTTGTCCTCAAGCTCTCCCATTTCTCTTATAAGATGACCTTCACCCATCAGCCAGCCAGCCATTCATCCCACAAATATAGATTGAG